GGAAGTAGACTGAGAATATTCTAACAAAGAGAAAGAAATGTATGGCGATAACTGAGCACTTGGGTTGTTCTCAAGATTGTTTTCTTTAAAAGGGAAAGAAAAAGTTCTTTGCCTTGATAAAAATGCCTAACTCTGAAAGAAGAATTTACCACTCGATATATATTCTTCACGCTTTTTGTATTAATCGTGCTTTTACAAACACCTGTTGCTCTTACCGCAGTTGAGGCTAAATGAGTACAGGTGCCATCGATTTTATTCATCGGTATGTACACAATCCTCTTGTTGATTCGTTGAATTAAAAATCCAATCTAAAGCTTTTAAATGAAACCTAAAGGTATTTGGTTCCTGTTTGATGTATATTTAGGAGTTATTAGGTTCATTTATTTTATACCGGTTTCACCGAAATAATAATATTGTATAATATTGATTATGTTGGTGTAGTATAGTATTAATATAAGATGAGTGATATGGAAAAGGAGGAAAGGTTTTGTATGTATATAAGTGCGTGATTCAATTATAATTAAGTGCCATGTCCAAAAAAGGATTGATGAGCATGCAGTGTACGAATAACCCTTTATAGTAGAGGCGCACTGCTTTAAATAAAGTATTTCCATCCCAATTTTATAATTATTTAATTTTATTTCTCTTAAAGTTTTGAGGTATTTGTAACATTTTATTAAATCCAGAGCGAATCGGAACTGATCACATGGTGTCCCATAACAAAAGCGATTACCAGAAACACAATTTTTACTCAATAAAAAACAGCAAAATATGGAATGGGATATATCATAAAAAAAAAGTAAAATATGCAATAAAACCCCATAAAATATGCAGCGAAAAATATTGAACAAGAATTCTAAAATATTCTAAAGCATATAGAATAGAATAGAATAGAAAATAATTTTATTCTGGGACGAAGTCCCCTCAGAGTAACGAAAAAGTACAGAAATTAAAATTTTACATCTGGCCAGATAAAAACAAACATAAAAAGTAAAGATAAAGATACATCAGTAAAAAAACAAATAAAATATATTAGTTATACATAATATATACAAAATAAAATAAAATAATCTATATACAAAACTCTCGAAACCATACTAAGATACTTAAAACTGTACAATGGTAAAATATAAATAAACCCTTTTAGAAAAAATACAAAAAAAAAAAATGTAAATTCTTCTTAACAGTAAAATCTGTTTTTCTGTTGAAAAAAAATATAAAATAAAAAAAATAAAAAATATGTAATTTTACATAAAAGGTTAGCTGGTATCTGACTGTTTTTGGAACAGGAATTGGAATAGGAGGGTTTTGAATGTAGATAGGGATAAAGAATGTCGGATTTTGATAGGAAGGGAATTCCAAAAATTAACAGAGCGAGCAATAAAGGAGTTTTGGAACGAGGCAGATCTGTGAGAAGGAATGTAAAGGTCGGAAGGTCGAGATCTTGTGGAGAGGGAGTGGATTGAGGACTTGAATTAGAGAAGATTGTAGGCGTAGGAAGGACGATGATTGTTCATGATATGATAGAGGAATGTACCTAGGAAATATTGTTTTCGAATGTAGGGAAAGAGCCACTCTAACTCAGTGTAGTGGTGATAGACATGGTAGTATCTCGGGGCACCAATTACAAATCTCACGCAACTGTTCATTAATCTTTTCAGTCTGTCGCGGAGCTCCACCGAGAGTCCATCATACACCACACAGCTGTAGTCAAAGTGGGGGAAGATGAGAGAGGAAACGAGGAGTCTACGCGTATGTTGAGGTAGGAGATGGTGGAAGCGATGGAATAGTTTGAGGGTAGAAATTGTCCATCGAGAGATATTAGAAATATGGTGATTCCAGGAAAGGGTTTGATCAATAAATAGTCCTAAATTTTTTACAGAGGAGTAGAAGGAGATTGGCTGGTCACCAAGGTTTAGTATGGGAAAGTCCGTATAGGATCTAAGGAGGGGCTTGGAACCAATGACAATGGCCTGAGTTTTTGAAGCAATTAACCTTAATCCGTTTAAGTTTGCCCAGGCACAGATTCGATCTAGGTCTGCTTGGATCTTAGTAAATGCCACCAATAGCTCAGGGGGAGAAAAGGATAGGTATATTTGAGAATCGTCTGCATAAAGGTGGTGGGAACAATGGATAATTGAGTCATGGAGGTCATTAATATAGGAACTAAAAAGGAGATATGCTAGATCCTTGGGCAATTCCAGAGGATAAAGGCAGGTAGGCAGATACTGGTTGATTAGGAATGGAGACTGCTTGGGTGCGTTGTGAGAGAAAAGATTGGAACCAAGAGATGGAGCTATTGGAGAAGGAAAGTGATTTTAGTTTGTTGAAAAGGATGGGATGGTTAATGGAGTCGAAAGCTTTTGAGAAGTCAAGAAGTATAAGGACAGTTAATTGTTTATTATCTATTGCAGTCTGAACATCATTGGTAATTTTGATTAAGGCGGATTGTGTAGAGTAGCCGGGACGGAAACCAGATTGGAGAGGATCAAGCTGGTTGGACTTTTCGAGGAAATTGGAAACTTGGGATTGCACCAATCTTTCTAGGGGTTTTGAGAGATTGGAAAGAATTGAGATTGGGCGAAAGTCTTCGGGAGAGGATGGATTAGGCTTTTTATTTAAAGGGAGTACAATAGCTTCTTTCCAAGAGGAAGGGAATATTGAGTTCTGTAGGAAGAAATTCTGGATGAAAAGGAGAACTGGGAGGATTTCGGGGAGACATAATTTTATCAATTTGACAGGAATGCCATCTGATCCTATGGAATTGGTGTGGGATCTCATTACTGCGGTTAGTAAGTCAGTCGGGGAAATGATGGGGAGAAATAAAAGTCATCATCATTAAATGATGACTCAGGAGCAAAGTTGGAAGAGGAGGGAAGAGAAGAGGTAGAGGAGGCAGAAATAAAATGTGAATTTAAATCGTCAGGTGAAATGGAAGAAACCAGTGAGGAAGGGGATCTGGAAGGTTCACAGAAGGAAAGTTTGCGAAGGATTAGCCATTTAGATTTGGGGTCTGGGGCAGATGAAAGGGCTTCATGGCTTCAACATATATTAATGTTGCTACAAATTATTCTTAATTAAGAAAGGAATAGGCAGAGGGATATATTTCATCAATTTTATTTATTGAAACAAATATAGGCTAATAGGTTCATGTTTTGAGTCAATCTCTGGTCACTCAATGCCTGCAAGTTAATTAAGAACTGAGCGTCATTTTGTTGAATTTACTGTTTCCATTTATTAAAAGTGAGCTTTCGATTATAGTCTGGAATTTCATATCAAAATCATTCCAGTTGGGAAAATTGTTCCCAAGAGTAAAGAAATTAAAATACCTCCTGTCCACAATAACCTCAATGAAATACCAACGGGCAGAAATAATATATAACTAGCTCAAAAAGAGGTTTCGCCTCCTTATTGAAATCCCGGAAAATCTCGAAAAATCTCAAATTAAGGGTGTACAATGCTATGATTAAAGCTAGTTCTTATATATGGCTGGGAGACCTGGATACTAACTAGCGCATTAGAAAAAAGTATGGAAAGATTTGAAAGAAATATTCTCCGCGCGATAACACGAGCGATCTGGGTTCAGAGTACTAACACATGGAGGAGAAAGACTAATAAAAAACTGCTTATAGAAAGTGGTTAATCAATATCCCATGGTACGAAGGCTCGGAGGTTAAGATGGGCAAGACATGTAGCTCGTAGCAATCCATCTGGAAGCCTCTACGTAACAATGTTTGCCTCAATAGAATGTGAAAGACAAAGTGGACGGCCAAAAAGTAGATGGATAGATAGAATCAACAAAGATTCAATAGAGCTGCGTCCAGATAAATGGGAAGAAATAGCCTAAGACCGGCAGAGATGGAGCAGGCTTATTGAGGCGACAAAAGATCCACATGGTCTGTAATGGAAAAAAAAAAAACGCTGCAAATTATTTCACAATGGTTTATTATCTCCAAACTATTATACATCTAAAGTAACATTACCTTCCGAGTCACAAAGAAAAAAAACAAAAGGTGATCCCAATTATTGGACTAAACTGTTATTCTTTAATCATTAGTAATTTCTAAAAAAAAAAAAATAGCATTAGTTCAGTAACACATTTAAGATTTAAAAACTAAACCAAGGATATCACATTTGGAGCAGAACACATTAAAAAACCCGGAGACCATATCTTTGCTCCTAATTGTCCGATTTTAACGATTTATTTTTTGTTTTTTAGGAAATTTCGTAAACTTTTAAAAATTAAAAAAGTAAAAACTTTTCGAGTTATTCGGAATTTGAATTTACCATCCCACGTAACTTTTTTTCCAGCTTCTTTTCGTTGCAGTATGTTATATAGATAAATTTAAAGGGCGTCGAGAAAATGACTTTAGCGAAGTTTCATTGAAATCTGTACATTCGTTTAGGAGCTACAGTCTATAGCAACGCAGGTTTTTCGGCCGCCATTTTGAAAGTTAAAGGCGGAGAGTAATGTCGATGAAGGAGGATCATCCTCGAGTGAACTCTGATTTTATATCAAAATTTGAAAAAAAAAAATCGGTCTAGTAGTTTCGGAGAAAATGCGCGGACGGCGGGCGGCGGACGGACAAAAAAAATTTTATTCGTTTTTCTACGCGTCTTGAAACGTGAAACCTCAAATTTTGAGAGGGGGTTATGTTTTTTAATTTTTTGATCGATCACAATGTTTCATTATAGAAAATAATAAACCAAAAAAAAAAAAATGTCTGAAATTATAAAAATAAGCAATTAACTAAAATTTTATTTAATATATTTAGTTATTTTATTTGTATGAATTATCAACACAGAAAATAGCAAAATAAAATTGTTAATTTCATCTCGGAATAGTGATATATGAACAATTGTTTAAAAAATGCAAGTAAACAAATTAGAGAACTCCATGAAAGCCTTATCTGGCGAATGGGGCCTATTTCTGTTCATTGGGCAAGTAAATACCTATCTAAAAGAACGCATTGAATCAATAAATATATTAAATTTATCACCTTTGAAGTAGATTGCGAGGCCTCCAGCGATGGCGATAATGGCTAGTATGTTGATGGTCACTTGAAGGAAGTGGCACCTCAGCCGGTTGTTCTTCATGTAGTGACTGGACGGACGTCTTATATCACGGATTATCTGTTCAAAAAATAAAAACATTTACATTCAAACATAATAATCATTTATATAAATTAATGCTGACACTGACAACCATCGCATACATTTCTCCACCTGTCGAACCTTGGTGGAAAACCACCTTGCATGAACAGGACCTAGGGTAGTATGTGCTCTTTTATTAAGTGGCTCCGTAGGAAATGTCAGTTTTCACAGGAAAGGTTATTTAGTAACACAGCTTTATAAAATCCTGATGTCACAAGTGCCAGAAATCGGATTGATAATTTAATTAAAAAAGGAATCAGAGTGACACTCCAATGAGCTCCAGCCATTGTGGTCAACCAGAAAACGAAAAAGCTGACGAGCTTGCACGGATCGCCTTGGAAATGCCACAAACTAATCCTCTGCTGCCCTACGAATCTGTTAAAAGGATTTTAAAATAATTTTACAAGGAAGAGAACAAGAATTGGCAAAAGCGATAGGCCACGGGGAAAAAAATAGGAATGTTTAACGGAGGAGCCGATGAAACCAACAAAAAATAATAAAGAATCGATGGCAAATTTCCGTATGGAAACAGAGCTCGTTTATCTGCAAAGGCATTTACATAGGATTGGAGTGGTAGGAAGTCCTGTGTGCCCTCTTTGCCAACAGGACGAGATGTACGACCTGCACCTCCCAGTTCGCCCCGCTCTGTCAGATGATCGCAGTTCTCTCTGCTAAAGTTTAACGCTCTTCCCGTTTTTCTTAAGAATGAATTCGAATCAATTCAAAAAAAATGATAAACAAGAGGTCTGAAGACGTACTTCTATAATAGTCCGTCGTACAGACCCCTTTTTATCCAATTATTAACATAGGCCTGAAACTTTGCAAATAACTTCTCCTCATCGTAACCTACAATTATTTTATATACAAAAATTCTCGTAATTGTGGCGTTTTAGATCTGGAGGTCGACAATCTTCAGATATTTAATTAGGTACTAAAACTCTTTGTTTTCCACCTGAATCGTATGATGATTTAAGCACGAAATTAAGAAAAAAGGTAGCCTTCAGAAATATTGAGCCGTTTACATCAATTACACTCCCAAAATGTTAAAATAACGAGATTAGAGAGGCCAAACCGCCTAATATTATTTAAGTCTACCTTATTTCACGATTTTGTGATAATCTTACGATCCAGGTGAAAAACAAATGGGTATTTACGAGTTTTTATTACTCGTTGTTAGTACTTTTAAGTGCAATTAAATAGACAAAGTTTGCTAACCTCCAGATTCAAAATATCAAAGTGAAGTATAAGGATAGAAGTGATAAAAATGAATTTCAAGTTGCTAAATGTCTTAAAATGACTTCATTTTAATTATGAGGAAATCTCGACTTGCAATAAAAAATTAATTTTTATTTTAAGAACTTCCGGTATGATTGGAATTTCTATTTTTTTTTCCCTGTAGTTTTGAAACGAGAACTTTTTTCCGTTGAAATTTCGAATCAAATGTTTTTAGAGAACTTTTATTCAAAAGTTATGTTAAAGCAATTCATTTCGCAAAGAAGTAAATCTAATTAACAAAATAGACTGATGAATCCTAAGTATATGTAAGCAGAAATCATTGTTAATTTCGTGTAAATTTTATTAAATAACGCGAATAATTAAAAGTTTTAACTTTTAAAACATATCAGAACCTCATTAAAAAAATGTTCAGATTTTTTTATTTTAAAACCTTTTAATTTATTTTTTCATAAGCGTTTCCTCGGAACTGTTAAAATGGATTTTTTTTAAAATGGTATTATTTTTTTTCTTCAGTTATACTTAAATTGTTTCTCTAAATACTCTTGTCGATCTATTATAGTTCCTTCAGCAAAAATAACAAAGCTCCAACAACTGATTTATTTATAAAATATTAATTTTTTTTAAATTTACATTGTGACTATTAACAATTCTCATTTCGACTCAACTTTAAAACTGATAGTGTGGATTAGTTTCTATTCAAGTCTATTGAAAAAGATTGATCCAAGTCGAATTCAACTTTTATCGATTAACTATAGTCGTTTGGTTCCTATTTCTACACAGTTCATACAGCTGACATCTCAACCCATTCTGATACTGTCATCACCAAGTACGCCGAACACATGTTTGCTATATATTAAATATGACTAATTCTCAAACATAGACTAACAAGATAAAAGCTCTATGCTTTCAATTAATTACGAAAAGCTCTTTTACATGACTAAAATATACATAGACATACGGAGGTGAGAGTTGGGACTCCACCAATCCATTAATCTCTATCCTATCCAATCCTTACAATCCAACATTCTTCACAAAATCCTTAAGGTCACATATTATATCAGAGGTATTCAAACTACAATAGAGTACTCAACCCACAAGCACCTTTCATCCGGTCCGTGAAAGTTTCTTTAATTACAGAGTAAAATTTTAAGAACTATTAAAAAATAAGAAATTTAGCAAATTATTCCCACAAGAGGTTACTACAATATTTATTGCATGTATTTTTCTCTTAGAAAACTCATTATCATAGCTGAAGTGACATTTATAGAACAAGATTTTTTTTTCATCACGAGCGATGAGCCCACACGACTTGGGGGAGGGGAGAAGGGGAGGTTTCAATGTGGCCCGCGGGCCAAAAATTTGGAGACACCTGAATATATTATTCCCGACCTTAATGTTCCATATGTCGCTGATTTAGCTCAATCCAGATACTTTTCATGATAAACTTCAGACCTACCGGTTTCTAACCCAGCATTCCCTTCGATTTCTGATAATCCTCCTAGGCGACTGAAAAGAAGATGATCTTCTAACTTAAAACTATTTAAGGAGTGCTTCCATTGGATAGTATCTCGAAAAGTCTGTTCTTGTCAATATTTTTTCTCTGTTAAAATTTACTACTATTTTATTTTTAAATAGTTGTAATTTTCAATTAAGCTAAACTAAATAATTTAAAAAAGCTATAATCCATATGAAAATGAAATATAACAAGAACAAATCATCGGCATTGCATATCAAAGTGATGTTACAGCCCAGTGTTAAACCATAATTATTTTTCTACTAATGTATACAACATATAATAGTAACATATTGTTTATTATTATTAATTAATGCTTACCCTGTGGTGCAAAGACATTGATGAGCCAGTCTGTAGCCGCACGATGGTTTGGAGGCTGGCGGGCGTCGAGTGACTCTTGGTTATCGGCGAGGTGTTTGTGTCTTCGATGGTCTCTATGTCGTCTTTCCGCTCGAGGCGGATCGGGGCCAGCTCTTTTTCTATCTGGTATCTTTTTTTCTTGGTGAGGTTGGGCAGGAGGGGCGCCTCCATCGACTTGTTGGTGTACGAGGGGCTGCTGGACTGGGAGAAGGAGTCGCTGGAAACATTGGAGTCTTGCCTATGAAATATTATTTTCTATTCTTATAGTAATCACTACGCATACTCTACAGGGTCATAGCACATGTTACGGTACATGCAATACTAAGTTCATTCATTTTGCTACATTAAAATATTTATTTCTTTTTTGACAGGTGTGAATGAGAAAATCTGGTGCGGTGCGCGTATCATACAGCTTTCACTTACCACCCTTCACTTTCACCCTCTCTATAGCAGAATTATGTATTTTCAGACAAAGGAGAAGTGAAAGTAAAAATTATAACTGCTTTATTGGTTTATATTTCATTGCGGATATTTTTATTTCGCTCCTACCCTTATATGTACAAATTTTAATATTTATATCGCTGTAATCTATACAATTATATTTTAAATAATACCAACAATAGAATTTATGAAAACCGCATTTGTATATTTACATAATATTTTCAGAGTCCTTATATTAAGTTCATGTTACGTATAGAAGCGTGTTTTAATCTTCCGGGTGAGCTGGGATGCGCTCGTATTCATTTGGTTCCTCAATTACAGTATTCTTATTTCTCCTTTAGTTAATTATCAAATTCTTTCATAATTTATATTCAACTATCTTTTATATTGAAGATGAATGTGAAATGGTCAATTGTTTCAAATAAAAAAAAAATAAAGGTACTTTAGGCGAAGCTAATATTGAAAATTAGCCATTTAAGCCCTGTTATCATCAATCAGAATATAACCTTCATTTTATTTAAAACTGCTTAATATTCCACTGATATAATGAATTAAATCAAAATCGTTTTTGAGAAAATCGTAAAAATGTGTTTAGCCTATGGGCTTATAATATAATATAAAGTGCCACTTTCGGTGAGCCGATTTTGACGAAATAGTTGCTATAACATCCCAAGCACATAGAAACCTTAAATATGCAATTTCACTTTCGTACGACTTGTCGTTTTTGAGCTATACTGTTAACACACACACACACAGACCATTTTACGGGGCTTGATTATTTGGACTCAGGGAATTTCAAAACATCTATTTCCGTTGAAAACTCGTGACGATTTTGTATGCACGACTAAACCGTGTTCAGTGAATTTTTAAGCTCGGTGGCTCAAATTATTTGATATGATCCCTTCAGAAACAATTTAGGTTCTAAACACGGACAAATTATTTAAATATGTTTCAATTATTCGGTTTTAATTTATTGTATTATCAATATCTCTCAAAATATAAATTGAAAACTGACGATTTTTTTACTGCAAATGTCCATGTAAGAATTGCTGAATATTGGTGACATAATTCCCTATTTAATAGTTATTTTACTAGTCTTTTGTATATTCGACGCTAATATTTCTCTTGTTTAACATTTTTTCATCAGATCCATATGCATTATTATATATGATAAGTATCTCTGAAATTAAAATTAAAATTATTACTAGTAGAAATAATATAATTACGGTTTTAAATTCTTCTGTAAGCTCTGGTCAGACCGATCGATGTGAGTGGATTGACTTGGAACTTGAAGTAGTTAAGAACTTACAAGTAGTGGTAAGAAATACTTCCTAATAATGCTGCGGAAAGTTTTTCAATAATCCCTCGATACTGGTGGATAAAAATTGCGTATAACCGACCACAAAGTCCGTTATTCTTAATTTAATTTTAAGTAATTAAATTTAATGAATTTTTTATTTGTTCTCTTCATGCCTCCATTCGCCCCTATCGTGGATGTGAAGTGTTTTGGTTTGGGAATTGACATTTTAGGCATTTGGAATCCAATAATATATATATATATATAAAATTAAAACTATATTTCATTGTTTATACCTGTCATAGAATATGAGTTAAAATTGGTATATTTAATGATAACATAGGTTCTGATATTACAGACACAGAAATGAGAAAAACATCCGGCACCTTTCTCTCCCCCCTTCCTTTTCATTAGTCTAGTTCCTTAATTCAGGAAAGGAGATCCTTCATCCAAATAACCAATGGCAGTTGGTCTATAGAATTCAAACTGTTGTTTCAAAGCTCTTTTCCCCATTCACTTTACTATTATCAAATTTCATAATTTTCTTCTTCCTTTGTTGTAATGGCTTCGCACTTTCGAGTTTGTTAAGCCTTGTCATCATTAAAATTATTTAACATTTCTTGAAGGCTTAATAATAATCTCAGCAAATTACGGAGATAAACCAGCATGGGTTGTACTGGTACAGTTTTTTTTTTTTCCTTGTAACTACTTACTTTACTTATAATTTTCAAATGATTTAAAACCACCGATAAAAAACCGAATATGAGAGTAAAAAAATATATATATATTATCTGAGGTGACCTAGATACTTCAGAACTATTCACCATCCCGTATATTTCCAATACATTTTTGGTTTGTTGGACTAAAACCAAATGTTTTCATTTTTAAAAATCTAAACAAAACGATAGAACTCCGTGGCAACCGTGGCTCTTACTAGAATTTTGGATTGAATTACGGTTTATGGAAGAAGCGGTATATTTTCGGGCTTTAAAATACGGTTCCCGGTACATTTCAAAGAAAACAAAACGGATCTCTGATCCACGCTTTGAAATTTTTAAAATTTGTTTCATCTCTATCCATTGACTGATCAATTTCCGAGTTTTGAAGCTTCCTACTTTTTGAATAACTTTCTTATTTTATTAGAGTAATTGGAAGAATTCAAGAATTAAGATTCATCGCTCTGAGTGCCGAAAAAAGGAATTAGTAATTACATCTACAGTATTGGGAAATTTTCTATTTCACGTTTGGACTATTCCTCCACACATATATTATTACAGTAAGGCTCGAAATCGGTTTTGTACCAAATATAAGCTCCTGTCAGGCTCAAATACCACGAATGGGGTACCGTTGGATTCAGAATTTCACGGGGAGTTAACGAATCGTATTCTCCACTTTTGTTTTTCTTTCTAAAATAAATAAAGTCGATACAAACATTTTGCTAGGCTTCAATACTGGAACGGTGGTAGGTCAGTAGATCGATACGAGACAAATTGGACCTTGAAGATTTTGATGCGTACAGCAAGACCCGGATAGTACCTATCCGGAACTATAACTGGTCCTGCGTTTTCAAGCCCCAAAACGTATTATTTTCCAGATAACGCAAGGCATAGGATTCGCATCCGGACAGCCTTAATTGTAGTACTGTTATTGAATACAAGTCTCATTTCGGCGACTTGAGGCTACTGTGATCGGGAGAGAAAGAGTTTATATTATTTATCGATGGAGTTTTCGATCGGCAAGCCATATCATCGTTAATTCTTTGCCAAATGTCAAGATTGAGCCACCAAGTTCGTAGGCTTCCTTCTCCTTCAGGCGGAGAAATAGTCTAATCACCCCGAAAATTCAGGCAAACAAGTTATGAAAGAAGATAACTTTATTTGCGAATAACTAAAAAATTACACACTTTTCCCTTGGTTATGCCCATGATTAATAAAATGTGTACGAGTATATCAAAAATTACTAAATTCCCTACAGGAAAAAAGATCATCGAAATCGGACAATTTTTAGCAAAGATACAGCTTATTGAAATTTGTGAGCACGTTGGTTCCAAACGTTAATGAAGGTTTAAATTAATTTTTGTTTCCTTTGTCGATTATATTTATCGATAAAGTGACAATTAATTTCTTTATCTTTTGACGCGCTGCATTATTTTATTTTCTTATTAATTTGGCATTTGATAACAATATGCTATGCGAATTTTTCGCAACATTTTATTTTATTTTCTGGCATTTTATCGTTATTATTATTAATTTTTTGTTACGGGTGCTTCGTAATCGTTTGGATCTATTTAAAGAGAAATAAAAGTACTTCATGGAAAAGGATAGTTTTAGATCTTTATTCCTTTGCTATCAATATTTACTGTTCTACGGTTCCCATATCTTCTCTCGATAAGATTACATTAAGTCGCCCGTTAGAAAAACAGTCTTCTAATATAAAAGTGACCTCAGCCCTGGTCTGCTTGTACTAATATTGTGTTGGGGTATTGATCTGCTGGGGAATAATATACATGGGACAGGGAAGCCCCCTCCCCTCCCCCCCTCGCACATCCTCCAAGACATATTGCTTGTCTGGATTTAAATTCTATTTATTGCATGCCTTATCTTTAAGTAAATATAAAAAATTATTTTTTCGTATGTGGGTAATTAAAATTTTAAAATATTTTGAATTCAAATAAAATTTTTCATTTCTTCCTTTATACCTGTCACACATAGGTATAATAATCAGAAAAAGATATGATAAAATAGGTTGTGGCATTTCAAGCATAATGAAGAGGATAGTACCCAGCATCTGATGAGTCTTGAAATTGTCCCTTAATTCGGGAAAATAAGTTTCTCATCCAACTCCTTTTTAATTGCCTCCTAATGGCCATATGGTATATAAAGTCTGTTGCTATGTTCTGGGTAGTTGATTACAAAAATATGAAAAAAAAAAATAGGTATGTATTATTCGATTGTTGACTTTTTAAAGTGAGGGCGGATCCAGTAATAGTTTCTTTTTTTTTTTTGGAGGGGGGACCAAAGAATTGTGTACTTGCATCAATTGTCTATTTTTTAGTAGTCAGACAAGTTTAGTTTATAACAATAAAACGCAGTAATTCCTGATGCATATTTGTAAAAATAATTAGCGTTAAAGAAGCGTGTTGCATTACGAGAGTGAAGATGGCTATGTGAAATACTGTCAGTCTCATATCATTGAATGTCATACATGTTTTGGTTTAAAGAGTACGTTCCGGTGTCAAAATTTCCATTCAAAAAATAACACCCCGTTTTATATTTCACCCTTTGGTCTCTGAATAAGTGAGAAGGCACCGTATCAGTGCCACGGTCGTATGAAGTACCTTCTCAATTAAACCAAATAAGGCCGTAGCTAAACCCTGTGTAGACACCGTGTGTTCTAAAGTGACCGAAATAATGTAAAAACTAATTTATAAACGTACTTTTATAAAAATTAATAAAATACATCTAATAGTTGAAAAATAGATTTAAGATCAAGATACACTAACTTACACTTAGGTTTATGTTCGGTTTCATCGAGAAGGTACTTCATACGACCGTGGTGTGGCTCTAGTGCGGTGCGGACAAGTATGTTACAACCTTAAAATAATTTATTTCAAGATGTAATTTATTAGTTTTTATAAATATTCGTTTTTAAACTAGAACTTAAAAGAGTGTACTCGGGCCACAACTCCATTCTCCACCATACCTCACAGCCGAAATTCTATTTTAAGCTTTTAGCTAAATATGAACTTTTATTATATTATTTAAAAGTCCAATCTCAATCTTACTTTCTATTAATTTCTATTTCAGCTCAAATTTACACAATATTTTTCCTAAGCAAGTACCCAATTTGAGAAAAATATTATCATCTCTATGGGAGAGATTGTAATTAATCGATTATATTTATATAAACAAAAACACCACAACGCAATCGGTTTATTTCAGGATCTTTCTCAGGTCTGGAACCAGGAATTTATCTCCAAATAAAGACTATGCTATCAAAAAAATACTATCTAAATTTTCAATGCTTCCTTAATGGATTTTTTTTTTGTAATCGGCAGGGATCAGATATTTCTTCATTTCGATCTTTCTCAGCAGGAGTTGCTCAAGGATCTATACTAGTTTATGTATATATTATATCTATATCCATGACTATATACTAAAACTAAAACATTTGATAAATTGCTTTGAACGATCTTTGGGATCCCAAAGGACTCCTCTGTTTCTCTTTATGTAGAGTTGAAGTATCTTTATCCTTCCTACTGTCTTAAGTATTTCCTGACATCCTTCCTCTTTCAAGTCATCCAATCCCACCGACCTTTATACATCTCCGAGCTCCTCCAATTCAAATCCTCTGTTCGCTCCCGCAATACTCGTTCCAGATCTTCTGATTTTTACATAAGGGTCCACCGAACCGCTGTTTTCGACAGATCGTTCATTATCCGATCCTCATCCCTATTGAGCTCCATCCCTTCCCACATCCGTCAATCCAATACCCTTCCTACCTTTAAATACCGCCTGTTAAATCATTTCTTATCCATCCAGTCCCCATGAAATTGTAAATAGATACCACTGTAAATATGTATATAAATTATTAGATCGTTCTTCGGTCATTATTTTTACTTTATTTTCAATTTTTTATTGTTAACTGATTTAAGTTAGAGAGTAATTTATAATTTTTTATTATGACTATTTCATTACTCAGCATTTTTTTTATATATCTCCTTAGCCCACATTTCTGTCATTCTGTATTATTCAAAAGGGACTCGTCCCAGAATAAATATAACTATTAAGTATAACTATTATATTATATATATATATATATATATATATATATATATATATATATATATATATATATATATATATATATATGAAATAATTGAGAAAGTAAACAAAGACTAGAAAGAAGTGATTCTGGGTACTATCATTCCTCATGCCTGAAAACACTAAAATACTTATTGTCAAATATATGGCAGGTACAGATTAAAATGAGAAAAATAAACAAGTTGTTGATGGTAAATATTCCTTGGACAGGTTTTGCCACCTTCTTACAGATAGGCTTCTATAAAAATGTTACCAGAGGAAAGGATGCTATTAATAAAGGAATACGACAACTATGATATTTAAAATATGATGACTTACCTTTCAGATATTTTATCTGGTTCTGGCTTGGGCTCAACGAAGTCCGTCTTGATGGGGGGCGGTAGGATGACAGTGGCCCCCCGCTTGGAGTTGAATTTGTAGCCTGCTGCTGGAACACTGCCCTCGGAGAACTTGCGAGCTGGGTTGGAGCGCGGGGGCGGCAGTAGCTGGATGTCGGCGGCGGTGTGCGAATAGCGGCGGTGCGGCGGGGAGTAGAGGTCGGAGTACGAGGGCGGCGGCGAGTCCTTGGGCGGCTCTGCTGCGGGTGGAGGCGGTGGTGGCGGTCGCTTCCGCGGCGGCACGGGGGGCGGCCCGTCTGTCCGCTGTCGTCATCAGACAATATATATTATACTTTACCTGATATACGAGGTATCCTAGGAGGGACTTATAGTAATAGAGGAGGGCGAGGGAGAGCAATAGCCGATGATGGACTTAATTTTGAGCAGTCGCTTATTTTTTTTTTTTAACCCTGATTACTCTGGAAGACAAAGACACTAGAAAAAAAATTTGTTCAAATTTTCCTCAAGTTCTGAACAAAAAAAAAAAAAAAAAAGAGCTTACAGGAAGTGTAAGAAGGAAGGGAAGGATCAATAAAAAAAATATATTTTTCCATTTTTTTTAGTGAGGTAAAAGCATCATCCCGAAAACTCAATGATTGGGAGAAATATAGTTTACAGAAAATATAATTGAGGACTGACTATCTCACATGCATATTACAATCCATTCTTATTTATTCTTAAATTCACTGGCCCTTAAAAAGATGGATCCTTTAATATTCTCTAAAGGGTCCCACACATCCTCTCATTTCCGGTTATCTGCATCATGTCTTTTGTGATCGAAAACTTCTATCACAGGTTATTAATCCGGCATTCTGCCACTCTTAATTTTTTTTAAACATATTTTTTGAGAAATACTGCAATCTGTCACAATTAAGGACATTTATAATAGTGTTCAAAGAGCACATTCACACTCCATTCACAATAAATAATACAGAAAAATAATAATACTAAAAGTAAATGTATATAAACTAAACTATAAAAAACAAAACAAAGAAACTAAGCTAATGAGAATAACTACTCAAATACATACATGCTTCTATTCTATCTATCAATATCTAAAAGAAAAAAAAAATCATTCACTCAAGGTCTCCAAGCCTTTCTCTCCATTCTCAATTCGCCTTTGGTCTCCCTTCAAAACGAATAAATCTTTCGCCTTAATTATTTAATGGGAGAAACCTGACGATTGAGCGTGATTTCGGTCAAATCACAAGGAGGTGCTTACACCGACCGAGGTACAACTTTTGACCTAGAAACAATTCTTCCCTAGAAAAATAACTTATAGTAGTACAGATTTTATATGAATAACACTTAAAAGGAGTGACAACAATTATTAAAGTAATGTGAAACAAATATATATGGCATTGAAATAATATGTGTGTATTTATATATAAAATTGTATTAAAATAAAAATACAACAATTAAATGTAAAGAAAATGCATATGTAGACCAATCGGTAGCACTCTAATAAAATTTGCACAATAAGAGATTCCAACACCATCTTCTTTTCAGACGCCTAGGAGGTCGAAAGTTGAAAAACAATTCGCATGTTTCTGAAGTTTATTATGGATTGGTTTAAGGATTAGAATGAACCAAATTGAGAACATATAGGAAATTTAGGTAACATATAGGACCTGCAGGACATAGATGATTTTATTCATGTAAAAATTAATGTAAATTTAGTTTATTTAGGATGGGATACGAGAGATATGTAATGGTTTAGTGGAGTCCCAGAGCTCAACTCCATAAGTTCAAATAGGCCTTATTATAGCTTAGGAAATGAATCTTTTTCAAATTAATTGGATGCTTAGTGCGTATGGCTTGTAAGTGCTAAAGTAGTCAAAACCTCGAGCGGTTTCTTGTCGTTCAGTCTGGTATGAAGATTCCAAATTTGAAGTTTGTACAAATTTGACGTGGACTCCTATGTTTTGGATTTGTTTAATAGGATTACCTGAGGCCTTTTTAAAGGAAACTATAAAATAGGAAGTCACGAGTTTACAACGAAAAGCAAACGTTATTTGATGGATTTTTTTTAAAATTTATATTAATCCTCCAACAGACATCATTCTATAGGGTTTGTGATTAAATAGTTTGGGATATAATTGATTGATGGATCACTCTTAACTGACAGGAACAATGTCTGTTCTGCGTATGTGGTGATGAGATTGTTTGAACCGAGAATACAGTCTTGAGAAACACCAATAGACTTGGAAAGAGGGATGAATAGGCACTATCGCGATTCAATTTGAAGTATGTGTTTTAGTGAGGTAGCACTGGATAATGAGAAAGTGTTCAGGAAGTTGGAATTTAAGGAGTTTATAAAGCATTCCCGGTCTCGATAAAGAGCCTGTTCTACGACGAGAAAGGCTTCCGTGTTGTACAGAATAGACATTATCTATTATTCGATGATATTGCTGTGTAGTGGAATGGGGTGTACTGCATCCGAATTGGTGATGTGGGATTATGTAATTATATATATTATATTATTATCATTATTAGGTCAGTCGTTATTTCGTAAAGTTGTTGTTATTTCACTCCATTATTTTCTTATCTGTCAAACGTGATTCCTTTCTGCCGTAAGGTTTTTCGTTGAATGATTTGAGCTTAAATTAAAAATTCGACTCAGTTTTAAAATCAAATTTTATTTAGATTGGTTCACTGCGTATTTTGATTCCAGTTCCATGCGTAAGTTCTTCAGTTAAATGCATCGCACAAATTAGTGACTTTGGCACCGTCAGTTTTCGAAAAGCAACTACGTAGACCGTGAGTTAAGATGTTTTCTTTTTATATTTAAGGGCATATATTGTACATTTCATCAAATTATCAGCCGTCAGTTTCCTCGTACAGTCCATACAGTCCCCATAGAATTGTAAATAGATACCACTGTAAATATTTATATAAATTATTAGATCGTTCTTTATTATTTTTACTTTATTTTCAATTTTTTATTATTAACTGATTTAAGTTAGAAAGTAATTTATAATTTTTTTTATTATGACTATTTAATTACTCTGTATTTTTTTTTATGTATCCTGAGGATTCTTAGCCCACATTTCTGTCCTTCTGTACTAAAGGGACTCGTCCCAGAATAAATAAAGTATTATTATTGTGTTTTTTAAATACTATTCTTCTAGGTTTGTGATGTGTGAAGATTTATAGATCCAATTGATGGGTTATTATTAACTGATAGGACACATGTCAGTGGCATGCGTGGTGATGAGTGATCAAGGTGGGTTGGAGAATATGCGCTGTAAGGATAGAACCTAAGATGTTATCTTGAGGAACACCTGCAGTCTGGCAAAAATAAATATTTAAATATTAAATAAGAGCTTTATTAGAATATGAGGGAATTAAGTTGAATTCGTCTATTTGAGAACTAAAGGCATTTATATATAAATAAATAAAACTGCGGAGGGCATTCATTTCAAGTGATCTTGGGTACACAGTTCTGAGAATACGATTTAATACAGAACAAGGTTTATTTACTTAATTGGGTAGTGGTTGTTTTTTCTTATTTTTCTAGTGCTATGATTAGGAAAACAAAGATGTGTAAGCTTAGCCTAATTAGATGGTTATTGCTGACTGTAGAGCTTACATGTTTTCTCAAGCGATGAAGGGAGCTTATAAGGTTAATAAGCTGAGGGTAACACAAGAGTACTTTTGTCCAGAAAGGTTGGCTAGACCTGAACAGGTAATACCTGCCAAGTAATCCGGTTTGAGTTCTTGTTTACCTCCGCCCCCGGTGGAAGCCTTACGCTGTAATTAGTTGGTCTGGTGTAGTAGTGTTGTGATGATATCCTCTCACAGGAACTCATTCCAGAATATAATACTCTTACAGATCGATCACCGTTCCATGGTTCTAATAACTCCAGTTCCCACTCCTATGCAAGCTCAAATGAAACAGTTTCAGGATAAATTCTCTATGTTAATTATTCAGTTTACTAAAAAATTCTCTGTTTTTTTTATTTTTATTTTACTCTTTTCCATTTTATTTATTTATTTTATATTATTACCTTATTCTTAATAATGACTTATTACACTTTTTGAATATTTATCTCTCTACTGCTTTCCATATTCCTGTAGACATCATATAATTTTTAAAAAATGTATACATTTATTCATCTTGAGTAATGATTTGACCAATAAAACCGACATGAATTATTAAAACGCTATTTACTTGAAATCTAAATATTATTTCTTAATCAAACCAAAAGCATCTTAGGTCAGGCATTCGTGATAATATCATCCGCTTAGTAGGTTAGATTACCAAGTTTCATGAGAATTAGAGATCACCACAAATTAATTAAAAGTCGCTCGACGATTCTGAAAAATAATTTTAAAATCTTAATGGGTGCTAATTTAAATTTAAATAGTAATAAAATATAGCTTCCTTACAATACTCAATTGTATCTTAATGACTATAATGACAATTAAAATGCTCATTCCATGAAAATATTAACACACCAAAACACTAAAGAGATAACAATCTTTCACCGCATAGATCCATCAACCTCCTGCCGATATGTTCTGAACATTTGGAAAAAAAATGTGGTGTGTAACTATTTCAGAAAAGTTATTATACCTTTACATATGTCCATCAAGAAACAAAAAAAAAAATCGATTTAGATTTATTTTCCTAAAAATTTATGAAAGAAAAGATTTGAGTACTATTTATTTGATAAACTAAAGCAATGTAAATCGGCTGAAAGTAGATCAGTGTAAAAATTTCAATACCCTCTAATATTGCCGATCAAAAACTTTTTGCCATAGAATAATTTTGTCAAACCATAATTTCTGTTAAAAGTAGAGGAAAATAGTGAAGCTTGTGTGCTGCTACTTTCACGTAGTTATCTTTTTCCTCTCATTCACCACTATCCTACACCAGAATATGAACCCGTAATATTACATTGAAAATTGAGTAGCTGTAACTTCGTTAATATTTGTCTGAAATGAACGAGTTTCATATAGTTTTGAAAGGAATTTCATTACCTTCCAATAACGCTAAACGTTGTTTTTCGGACTCAGGGAGCTCTGATACGTATCGATTCTTCGAAAACCGCATATCGCAAATTTGACCCGATCGCAATACTTTCCATACCTGGTACAGTAGAAAAGTAAAAATATTCAAAAGAATGCTTGAAATACTCGAGGGGTGAGGGAGGGGGCAAAAAATAATACTTCACCATTATTTCATCGTATTTTGATCCTCATCTTCAAACAGTTATTGGTTACATTGCTAGAGTAACAGAAATAAAAAAAAAAACTACTGGTTTATTTCAAGATCATACCCGGGCATTTGATAGTCCGCTTCACTAAAAATCGTTCAACCTCATACATACCATCTCATTTTTTAATCCTTCCTCCTTGATTGATTTTTCGTTATTAGACATTGCTCCGTAACTTTTTTATTTCCAGCAGTTCCAGCAAGAGTGCGGCAAGGATCAATACTGATTCCTTTACTATATACTATGTACATAGATGTGATATGCCTCTCGATTCCTAAACATTTGACTACTACCAGCGCAGACGTTATGGCATTTTTAACAATACACCATAATTTTAGATTGATCTCACTGAGTTTACAAAATTTTTAATTACATTTACAAAATAAGAATTTATTATACTTTAGAAAATGACATTAAGTTCACACAACGACGATTCACATGACCGTCAGTTTATATCAGCATATATTTTTAGACGGACACTGTACGTTACTTTGGAATAACATGCGACAGGAAGGTGACCTGGAACCCACACGCTAAAGTGAATAAAGAGACTTTAAACAAATTTCTGTTTAGGGTCACCCACACGCTTATTTAAACCTGTATGGATGAACGACTCACAAATTTACTGTTCGGCGAAAAAGCACTATCTTTGTAATCCAAAATTTAAGACTAATAACAAGTATTGGCAGTGCAATCACTAACAATCGACCAACACGTGCTTATTATTTATTCCTGTTTTCATAATAAATGAACACGACAATGGACTTATATATGATAAGCAACCGCTATTATCTCTATTAGGAGGCGAAATTCAATTCAATGTGAAAAAGGAGTATAGATTTCACATTGAAATAAAACGAAAACGTATTATATACAGGGAGATTTTTGTTACGATATTGCATTATTTATAATTATATTTTTAAAAAATTAAAATACAAAGATAACTTACACAAAATTTTATTGTTAAAAACGTTTTTAACATTAAATAATTACTTATAATGTATATTTTTGTATATAATTTATTAAAAAAAAAAAAAAACATTTTTGTTGCTTCTACTTCAGTGTGACCTAATCACTTTAGGTTCATCAACGGCCGTGTTTTTTTGGATTTGAAAAACACTGAAAATAATGAAAATTTCTTATATACGTACATACAATTGTATTGATAATAAAAGTATATATTCTGTAATAAAGAATATTTGAGAATGATCATAGTTATTTACAAAAAATAAATAAATAATAAGAATTTGTAGTTGAAATAGTTGCTATACAATATTTATTCCTTTGTACTTATTAACAAACACAAAATGAAAAATGTCTTACATGTTATTTTTTAAATATAAATAATAATTCTAGTAAATTATACACAACTTAATATATCTCATAGCTTTATAAAGTAGCTACTAGTTCCTGTCTTATAGTCTTGTAATAAGTTGAAATAAATATTTTCCCTGATAACATTATAACAGGATTATCAAAGTGCGGATCAATAATTAAATAGACACTGATGGGGAAAGGTTTCGAGAGTGGTATAAAGTCAATAGGTATCAACAGGCTAGGCAGAGCTATGGCAAGCTACTTATATTAAGTTGGTTCCCTTGAAACTCTCCTAAATTAGGATATTTTCTGGAAGGGGGCACTCTAAACTGGAATTAATTTTAGCGAAAACTTTGCGACCCCCCTGCCTCTTATACTTATACCCAGGCGACCCGTTATAGGCAAGTCAATAATTACTTCTTGACACGAGAGTGACAAAGTTGGCACTCTTCTAACTTTTATTATCCATCCATTTCTGTTTAATAGTTTAAGCTTGCTTGTTTCTATCAATATTGTTCATATCGTCTTTTAATAATATATTATAAATAATTTATAATATAATCAATAATGCTTAAGTGGCACCGAAAATACAGCTACTACAAGTAAATTGAGCGCTTTAAACGTTAATATTTTTTTTTACATTATGTTTTTTATTTATGTTATACCTCAAACAAAAAAAATTTTTTTTTTAAGTAAGAAAAAAGAGTTAGTAATTTATTTTTACTTCTGGTTGCGAGCTTTTCTTAAAGCTGCTTTACGTATGTATATAGTCAGATTTTTCCTCATGTAATATCCTATTTTCCTCTTGTAATATCCTATTTTCCTTATTTTTGAAAAGATATAAATTCTGAGAGAATTTAATAACTATACTTATCGATTAAATTTCATCACAGAGTTTGAAATTTAATATAAAATACTTAATATGTTATTTTGATCCAGAACTAAAACGGGACAGTAGAGATGAAATGGGTGAAAAAAAAAAACCATTAACTCTAGTAGATAGATTCACTGTACCAGCCAATTTTCTAAGCGATATAAAATTAACACTGGAAAATAAACGTGGAACCCTGATCAACCAAACAACGGAAAATAAGATAGTTGACGAGGTCAAAACGTTGCCAATCAATAAATTTAAGTCACACTTATCAGGTAGTTTTTTTTTTTATCAATTGAAAATAAAATTTATCAATTTTATACCAACTTAACTAATTAGAAATAAGTGTCCTCCAAGAGATTTTTAGTTGACTGATAAAAATTATAAAGTATATGTCTGTGTCCTGGAGGTAACGATCATCAAGTCCATTTTTATATTTGTTTAGAGGAGCCAATTTCCCATAACCTTGAGCTATTAAAATTTGGTTCTTAGATGCTAAATATGTGTATACTCCCGAAGTAAAGGACACCATATCTCATTTTTGCATTTGTTTGTGGAGCAAATTTTTCTTAACTTTGAACTATAGAAATTTCATTCTTAGTTACTAAATTAGTTAATAAAAGAAATAAAAATGTTGTTTTTTACTTCCAGGACAAAGATTTATAAATTGTCATAAATGTAAATCTTCTCAAATTTAATAAATTTATACTAGCCAAGATCAGTATTAAACAATACGATAGATATTTTACAATAATATAATATATTTCCACGACAATCCATTCCCGTTCAATGCAATATTTCTTGTTTAGTGTAGTTTATCTTTTTTTTTTTATTCGTCATTTCAAATTTCAACTAGTCCGTGGTACAGACCCCTTTTTATCGAATTATTAACATCCACCTGAAACTTCGTAAATAGTTTCATCTCATCGTAACCTTAGCCTACTCATATTTAGATACTTAGACTACTAGTAAATATTTTATTTACGAAAACTCTTGGAATTGGGGAGTTTTCCATCTGGAGGAGGGCAAACTTTGTCTATTTAATTAGGTACTAAAAACTCGTTAATACCCATTTGCTTTTTACTTGGATCGTAAAATAATTTGATCAAAAAGTCGAGAAAAATATTATAGGACAAATGGCACAATATTTTTGTATATTTTTTTTATCGATTTTGTGATCAATTTATCTTACGATTCAAGAAGAAAGCTTAATTGTATTTTAATCGTGGATCAATCACAGTAGTTCTGCTTGCGTTGGGTGGGAGACCAATTTTTAGGAGGCGTGATCTGATTCACTGTTGTGTCATATTTTCGATATGAATTTAGATACTATAAAATAATAAATATTTTATTATTAATACTATAAAAAATAAATAGGTATTTATTGATTGAATTAATAGAGAATCAACGTTTAAAGAAGAGTTGGTTCACATCATATTTATTGCTGTTGTGCACAGCTCTTTTTATCAAATTATTAACATCCACCTAAGACTTCGCAAACAGCTCATCGTAATCTAGAACTATTTTATTTACGAAAATTCTCGGAATGGGGAATTTTTCAATCTGGGGATCGGAAAACTTTGTCAATTTGATTTGAAATTAAAAACTCGTAACCACCCATTGCTTTCCTCTGCAATAATTTGAGAACAAAATCGAGAAAATAGGTGGCCTACAAAAATATTGGGCCGTTCGGCTTTTATAACTTGGTTGTTTTGTGGCTGTAGGTTACGCCAAATAGCTTTAATATTTTTTAATTGTATTTACGAATTTTTAGTTCCTAATTAAATAGACAAAGTTTGCCCAACTCCAGATTAAAAACCTCCCAATTCCAAGAGTTTTTGTAAATAAAATAGTTGTAGGTTACGATGAGACGATTACTATTTAAATTACTATTTAAGAAGTTTCAGGCAGATATTAATAATTCGATAAAATGGGGTCTGTACCACGGACTATACTTTTTCATCATTAGTTTCCTTTTAAATTTAATTCAATATCATTAGTAAAAATATTTTAAAAATAAAAAAAAACCTGATGAATGGGTATGAGAATAATGAAATATTGTTAAAAATATTGTCTATTGACTGACCGGTATGTTCCTCGGGGGTGGGGGCGGTACGAAGCCTAGCCTGTGCTGCGTGCTCTGGTGCGCAGCCTGCTGCTGGATGTCCAGCTGCTGTTGCAGCACTTTCTGTTGCTGCTGCTGCGCTGCTGGAGGCATGCCCCTTCCTCTGCAACTGTACTTAATTTTAATAAACAAGCCCAATCCAAGGCTTAAGTAGGTACTTATAGGTAATTATAGTTATAATTCTTATGTAATAAATGAAATAGAAATCGAATTTATACTATGAAATCAGTTAAATTGAATTTTAATTAAAACACAGATATATTAATATTACCCAATAGATTTAGCACTCTTAATACATATTATAATTTTTTTTGTCTATAAAAATTGTATTTGCGACTGTCAACTTATTTTTTATTTTTTTTTTTTTTGGTTCCTTCCCTTCCTCGCCGTTAAGGCTATACGGGATTTTCCCGGGCCAGGGAGTGTGGGCGGGGATTTAAAAGACTCCTACGGCACCGGGACGCGAACTCGTGACTGTTTTTATATCTTTGATTCATATGTCAGGTTGCCGGGCAACGGCGGTGCAGTGCACACGCTTTAGCCCATTCGGCCACCCCGCCCACGACTGTCAACTTATTGTTAACAATCAGCAAATGTGATGGCGATACATGAAATAATGACATGACAGGCATGGGGAAGGAAAGTACTCAGCAGAACCTCTTCCCTAACTTGTTCCAATTACTTAGATTAGTTAAGGAAGGAGATCTCTCATCCAACGCCTTTTTAGTCTCCTCCTCATGTTTTGAGGTATGTCAGCTGTTGCCATGTCTCTTATTAGTCTGTTATTATATCCGCTTAAATTATTAAAATCGTTGATTATTAAAGGGTCGTTATATGTTGGTCAACTGTTGGAAGATGGAGGTCAGTATGTAGAGGTTTGTTAGTCACCTATCAAGAAGCTTTCTTTATGAGTAGCAATAATTTTGATTGGAAGGTTTGAAGTTTTTGATGGTGGGTCTTTTTAGCGAGTAGTCCATATGGGTTTAAGTAAGTATGTATATGTATTTAGTTTCTGCTTTAGTTTTAGTTTTGACGATTTGTGCAAAAAGCGAGTAAAGTAGTTTCAGTAGTTTGTTTATTATTTGATTCATTTTATAAATTCTATTATTATATGAAGAAAAATTAACTTATTAGGGTTTGTTAATTATTAATTTGTTATGCTGCTATTTTTTATGTTTTATTATTATTGTTTTTATTTTATTTACTGAATTTATGAATAAATAAATCATATCTCATGATATAAATACACGGAGATTAAAATAAAAAGGAAATGAAAATGGGACTGTTGCCTTTTTAGAACATATTATAAATACATACAAAATAATATCTAAATATAATAAAAGTAGAGAAAAAATATACATACAGATATATATAAAATAAAGATAGGAAAATAAAACAATATAAGTAATCAAAATAGTTTCTGGGGCAATTTAAACAGTTCTCTTATGTACATTCGTGATCAGTCGGATTGGGAAAGGAATAGGTGCTTAAAAAGGAGACATTTAAATGAGGAAACTGATTATGCATATCGGATATCGGGAAGGATAGAATTCCAAAAGGAGATGGAATGATTAAAAAGGATTTGTCAAACGTAACAGTTCGGTAAGGAGGAGGATAAAGATTGAAAGTACGGGATCTGATGGGACGGGATTAAATGGAGGATTTGAATTCTTGGCTCTAAAGAATACAGGAGGGTCGCTGACTTCTAATCACCTGGTATAGAAATGTAGCAAGAAAGTAGGATGGATAGAGCCACTTTAACTACTGTGTAATATGTGTAATAACTCTTGAGATCCCTAAGACAAAACGTATTGAACAATTCATTAGACTTATAAGTTTAAGATTTGTGGTTTACGGGCATATAGCTCGAAGCAACCATCTGGAAGCTTCCATATAACAAAGAATGCTTCAGTATAATGCAAAATACCACGTGGAATGTCAAAATGCATAAGGATAGATAGAGTCAACAAAGATGTAATAGAACTGATGAAGATAACTAGAAAGAAATAGCCCAAGATAGGCAGAGATGGAGTAGGCTTGTTAAGGCAGCAAAAGATCAACAAGGTCTGTAATGCCAATATATATATATATATATATATATATATATATATATATATATATATATATATATATATATAACTTACGTCGGTTCGAACTGAGAAAGACAAAAAAAAGAAAGAAGGCTTGAAATAAGACACGTGGTTGCTCAAACTAAACTGAATTTATTCTCTCCGTAATGCTATATATATAGCATTACGGTTTGTTTACAATTATTGAATAGGATTAACTAATATATTACTTACATCTAACCATAACTCCCCCCCGCCAGTTTATGAACACTCCTCATAAACTAACGCAGGGTTAGTGATATAATACAAAACAACAAACAAAAAAAAAAATAATAATCTTCCTTGGCGCTCCCATACAGCCATAGCACAGAACAAATAAAATTAGACATTTTCCTGCAATACTAATAAAACTACAAATGAAATAAACCTTCCATAGCTTGTAGGAGACAAAAAAGAGGATATACTACTTATTTACAACTGACTCGCCTCTATCGGAAGTTTCAATTGTTCTATGTGAACGGTCCGTCGTTTCCTAGGATCGTTCAAACTCTGAATGGTACAAAGATTGTGTTCGCGAAGTACGATCACTTTGAATGGTCCATCGTAGCGTGCCAGTTCTTTCCCCCTATTAGAACCTACCCTACGATAGACTGTCATCCCTATCTTCAAGTCCCCCATTCTGTCCTTGAGGTTTAGATTGGCCCTCTCCACCCTCTTCCGTTTTTCCCGCTCTATTTTTCCTCTCGTTTTTTCCCATACTCTCCTTATCTCTGCCCTGTTACACGTGATCCGTTGAGCTTGTGCCTCGTCCGTGAGTGTTTCCATCCAATCCCGTCGCCGTATATTTACTCCAAACAACACCTCGACCGGAGAAAACCCTGTAACGGAATGGATTGAATGATTATAAGCCGCTACTGCTCTTTTCATGGCTACATCTCCTTCCAATCCTTGCTCCCCTTGATAAATACGTAGGTGGTCGCTTAACGTGCTGTGCAACCTCTCTATATTTCCTCTGCCCTTTGTATGTCCTGGCGTATTAAAATGCCAAGCTATATCCAATCGTTTAACCTCCTCACGCACGGTACTATTGTCGAACTCCCTCCCTCCGTCCGACGTTATGCGATCAGGCACTCCGTAGAACTGGGCCCACGTTTGTAGAGCCCCCACAACCGCCTCCGACAACTTATCTCGTACTTGGTGTGTCATTGCTACCTTGCTAAAGAGGTCGATCATTGTAACCCACTTAAACCCCCTCCACGTAAATGTATCAATTTGCACATCTTTCAATGGCATGTCTCCCGTAGGGGTTTCCTCCTGCAATCCTTGAGGTGGCCGTCTATCGTATTTAGTACGCGCGCACACTGCGCATCTCCCAATGATTTCAGCAATTGTCTTCCTCATGCCATCCCAAAAATATCTTCTGCGCAACGCTTGAAACGTTTCCTGTTCCCCCCTATGGTTGGTCTTGCCCTGGTGATGTGCCAGCGTTACTTCCTTTTGCTGCTCCTTGTCCATTAATGTTTCAACTAGGTATTTGCATTTAATGAACGACCTGTCAACGCCTATCTTCTCTGCTCTCCAGAGTTTTTTGATCTTCTCCCAGACGGTCGCATTGCCCACATACAAATGGTGAGTTTTCCCCGACTCTGAAGCGTCGTGCAAAGCCTTACAGATCTCTTCTTCTTTCACCCCTGGTTAGGACCAAATGGTGTTAATCTTCTTCTTGCCGTATTTACTGAAGTCGATCTTCATGAGCCCCGACGTTCTGGTCTTCCAAATGACCTGTCGTCTCTTATCGTTGACGATCTCCTCACATTCCTCCATATCTGTAGGCCTCTCGTCTACCGAGCTCTCTTCTCCTCTCGACTCCTCTGCCCCCACGTCCCCAGGTTCTCCTTCACCTTCCGGTGTCCACGTTCTTAAAAACTGCCGCACGTCCCTTGACGACTCCCCTTCTTCCTCCTCGATGGCATTTATCATGATGGCTCTGGACAACCAGTCCGCTACCACATTTTCCTTACCTGGTTTGTACATGACCTCCATATTGTACTGGCTTAGAAATTGCTTCCACCGGGTGACCCTTGCTGACGATTCCTTCAGATTACCGACCCATTGCAGCGGTCTGTGATCGGTATGGACTTTAAACTTTCTGCTAAAAATATATGGCCTAAAATGCCCTACTGCCCATACTATGCCCAGGAGTTCCCTCTCCAGGGCGCTATACCACGTTTCCGCGTCTGTAAGCCGCCGACTTGCATATGCTACCGGTTGTTCCCCATTACTTCCTTCTTGAGCAAGTACCGCCCCCAACGCATACTCACTCGCATCCGTGGTAATGACAAATGTCTTCGTAAAATCGGGAAAAGCGAGTACCGGCTTCTCTTGTAACCGCGCCATGCACTTTCTTACGTTATCCTCTATTGCTGGCGTTATTGCAATCTTCCGGCCTTTCTTCAAAAGGTTATTAAGAGGTGCTAAATACTCCGCCATTTCAGGCACGAACCGACGGTAATAGTTTAGTGTTCCTAATAACCTGCGGATACCTTTTACATCCCTGGGCATCGCCATATTTCGTATTGCCTCAACCTTCTGTTTATCGGGCCTGATCCCCTCCTTCGAAATGGAATGTCCCAAAAAGGTTATCTGGTCCTGTCCCAAAATCGACTTTTCCGCTGATAATTTCAACCCAAATTGCCGTAACCTATCGAATACGCGCCCTAAATGATCAACATGCTGCTCTTCATCCTTGCTAAAGACCAAGAGATCGTCCATGTACACTTGACAGAATTCTTCGTCTAATCCTCTCAAGAATTCGTCCATAAATCTCTGGAAGGTTATGGGAGCGTTCTTTAAACCAAATGGCATCCGAGTAAACTCGTAATGCCCCCTCTCGAAAGAAAACGCCGTTTTGTGTTGATCCCTGGGGTTCATACCAATTTGGTGGTAGCCTGCCTTTAAATCCAAAGTACTAAAAATGGTTGCCCCACTAAGCCTGTCAATAATATCCTCAAATCGCGGAAGCGGATACTTCTCGTCTAGG